ACAGGTAAATGTGAGTTGTGTAAATTTTCCGTGGCCTGTTGCGCAGTGATAATTTCAGAGCAGATATGTAATTAATTTTATTTAAAAATAATTCCTTCCAAATCGACCCCGCGTTCAGATGCTACAAACCCAGAAAAACCGCTGCGGTCCCGAAACCCACATGGCGGTTTGAAATGTCACTTTGTAAAATACTAAAAAAATTCAAAACTCACACCGATGCGAGTGTCAGTTGTCATTTATTGATAAATCACTTATCAGTTTCGTTATTCTATGACTTGCCATTGCTATTCTATTGTAGGTAATATTTTAGGTATCTATAGATTTGCTCGATTTTTGGACGATCAGCACGTGTCGATCTACAAAAACTACGATCGCTTGCTTCTTACATTATTTACTCGATTTTGTCTAATCACACATCCAATGGCTTTCTACAGTAGTGGCCTATCTCAAAAGCATCAAGTTTTAAAAAAAACAGACGTGGCTGATAAAATTGACATTTTACGCAATTCAACGTTTTCATGTGATATTTTAACCTAAAAAAAAGAAAAGCTCGGTGTCCAGTTCACAATGAAATTTAGCCGAACAAATCGCAGTTATAAGTAAAAAATAACATTATTATTTTGGATTAGGCCACTATTCTTGAGAAGCAGTGACATGTTAATCGACAAAAATACAATGTCGATCGTCTGTTGCTTACAAATTTACTATTTTTGATTGATCACATGTGTTGATCGTCAAATCGAGCAAATTTTTTGACACCTTTTACTTTCTACAGTCATCAGTCAATTTGATAAATAATCATTAGATCCGGCAATTGAATCCCCTCTTGAGGTATTTTTGTAACTTAATTATTCATCATTATCATCATTACTAACTGGAAAAAGAGCTGAAGATCTTTAAACAGCTGATCAGATGTTCGTCACACATAGCAAACAACCATCCCAAAAAATCGCTTTGAGATCAGTCCATCTTTTTGGGAGCTACGATGCCACAGACAAATATACCAGTAGGGTTAGCACGATAGGGCGCCTCTAGCGCGAGAACGACTTATAACGCGAGGTACTTGCTATTCTCGCATAGAGATCTCGCGTTTTATGTCGCTCTCACACTAGTTGCGTCTTGTCGTGCTCGCTCTACTGACATATACACAGACAAAGCCTACAAACTTATAACTCTTTGGGGGTTACAAAAATAGTAATTGCTGAAGCGATAAATCGAAAAAGCTTTTACATTGTATTAAAACCTGTTTATCTTCACACTTTGTTTTCGTAGACAGTGGATTTGATAAAAACATCCTAATATTCTGTTATCATAGGTATTGGCAATGATAAAATTTACCTAGCGGATTTTTTCAGAAGTACCGATACATTGTTTGTCGCTCTGTAGAGTAACTTGTTGAGTCCCTTATTTAACCTAAAATTTACTAATTTTAAACTCTGAGGTTAAATCTATTGTGTGTTAATGACACTATTTTTTACCCCCTATAGTTTTTTTTAAAACAGACCAACGGTTCTCGTGCTTAAAAGTTTTCTGTAAAAGGTCGGAAAGTTGGTTTGTTTAAAAAAAACAAATACACGTGATTTAATAATCCAAATAAATAATTTCCAATGTGTAGCAATTGTGGAAACCTAAGAAGTTTCCATTGTATGTTTCTTATATTAATAAATATTTACAAAGTAAACTAGGATGTAGGTTGCCAACGGTCTAACAAAGGCCAGCTTTTGTTTGATCGGACACCAGCATACACCATCTAGGTAATAAAACATAAAAAAGAAAAACAAACAAAATGTGAAACATAATAATGTTACTTGCCGTGCTATTACATGTAGGTGTGTATAATTCTTATTGCTACAGGGAAAAGGCCTTGTACGTAATCCTTCGTAGAAACTTTAAATGTCTAACCAGAAAAGATGTAATTTTTAGGATGTGACCTCATTACACCAAGGGTGCGAATATTTAACACACAAAATTGAACTATATCATCTACCATACAATATCTACAATAGATTTGTTTTTATTTTGGACTAATCTGAGAGCGTTAGTCTAGTAACCTATAGTTGAGTTCGTGCAGGGAAGTGCTACCACTTCTCGTATTTCTGCCACCAAGCACTAAATAAGAAGTAAGCGTTACTGTGTTCCGGTTTTGAAGGGTAAGAAGGATGCTGGTGAAATTACAGGCGCATGGGACTTTTGCGACTTAAAGCTCAGAGTAGCACTGCAACTGCTATGGACAGGCGTGTCGCTTACCACCAGGCGTACAACTTATTCGCCCCGTCGTATTGTATCATAAAAAAAAAACTCGTACGTCGATACTTAGAATATACTTCAATCTTGCACAAAGTCCAATACTGATAATTTAATTTAATTAATCGATTAATTAATTTTACTAATAACCTAACTATAATTCGGAAGGAATGGTTGATGATTGTCCTAACTTAGTCAACCGTGACCATGGGTTTGAAAAAAGAAAGCACATATACGCCTTTTAGATCCGAATTAATATATATTCCGAAATAATAATTTCATTTCCTATGTGCAATAATTGTGAATTGGATAAATAATAATAATAATGTATGAACATAAATTTAATACGTTGTCTAACAACGTCGCGGTTAATTGTAGTACTTACTACAACATGAAGTGTATGTGAACAGTGACCACAACCGCGGCCTTCTATACTTTGCACGTGATTGCAGATTATTAACAACCACAAATCGTGGCTATCTTCTCTAACTTCGTATTTGACATTTTTGATGTAACCGAGTAAGATGTACAATCTTATAGTGTTGTCAAGTGCGAGCGCAAAAGAACATTTTTTTCTCAAAGCTCATTATTTAGGCTAGCTCTGTCCACCGCGTATTCGCGTAATTAGAATTTAGATAGGTAAATAGGTAATTGGCTCATGTAGATGTAATACTTACCTAGCCAATTATTATAGAGTTTGCAAAGTGCCTGTTAATACATTTTTGATACCGATTAATACTTAGTAAGTAATAGTAGATAAAAAGAAACAAACATTTTTTTTTTTTTATAATAATAACGCACACACTCAACAGGGAAACCCTGTGTCGCGGGTGCCATGGACACACACATAGACAACCACAAATTACACCCAAACTCACGAGAGAAATAAATGTAGGCCATACACATATTTCTCCCGGCCTGGGAATCGAACCCAGGACCTCTGCATGGCAGTCCGGCATGGTAACCGTTCGGCCACCGAGGCAGTTATAAGCGTATACAACAATATACAGCGAGGTAATGGTAGATGTAAAGAAACAGAATTGTAAAATTCTATTTTATATTATTTATAATCTCATTCAGCTTCAATTTCCGGTGCTGAACTAGAGTTACTACTCGAACTCGAAATGTTTGCTATCTCTCCCTTCAAATGAAAAGAAAAACATTAGGGATGACACAATTTAATAAATCAAATTAATTACAGGTAACTTCTATGTTGCTTTCAAATCACGTACTAGTAATTTTAAACTTCTATCGAACAAAATTCATATGACTTCAATATTAGTATTATCAATAGTCTAATCTCGTATATTATTTATTGCACATCGAATTTGGCTAGAGAATAGACGTGGAGTGATAAACCGAAAATTCGTTGCCCTGGAACATTTTGATCTTTTATCAGGCGCCTTTTCATTAAGTCGTTTTGTAAGCAAAAGAATTAATAAATACCGTGAAATAAAGTTTTGAAATATATTTGCTATCCATATGTACCTAATTATTACGTTTTTTTTTTTGGTTAGCAGTCACTGTTATAAATTATGTGAAAAATTTATCTTTACATACATAATCTATTTCCAAGATTTGCACTATAAAAACTTGAAAGAAACAGAGATTCCAAACATTGAACGGATTTTTTAAATAAAGTAATAACACATTAAATTGTAATTTCTAAATGTCGTTTGTCATCAATTCTCGCGAAGTTTTCCTTTACTGTATTTTTTTTTTTACTAAAGAGAAAGGTTTACGATCACTGCTTCTTTGTTTATCTTTTTCTAATTAAAAAGAAAACGAGTTACAGTTACGACTTTAGTAAAAGGACGATATTTGTTCGATAGGAAACATTAAATAATAGAGGTTTTGTTAGAGCGTATAGCTTTCGATAGAACAACGTCTAAGAAAACATTACACGTGGCAAATGGGTAAAAACAAATAGGTAACATGCGCTTAACATGAATTTTGCGTTTTGTTGTGTGTGAAATAGAGTACAAGATGATAGTTATGATTTTCTTGAGGTAATGTGATCCCTGTAAAGATAATGGACTGCTTATGTTACATAAGCGTTATTTTACTTTCTCGTCCCTATTTCTTCTGCCACAGATACTTTAAAAAAACTAAATCCTATGCAAGCTGTAAACGCTCGTTTATTGCGTGAAACACAGTGCGCATAAAAGTATAATATCATTGGTGAAACACGTCGAAATAATTTGTACATTATAGCTGCTATAAGAAGGTCGTGCGATGTATTTAGCATGTTTACGATCAAGGGTTATTGTTCTGACTGGCTGATCATTAATTAGGCTTTTGTTGAGGGCAATGTTATACAGGGAATTGTGTATTGTAGACCACATTTAAATACGTATCAAAATTGTTTGTTGAAAATAATGCCAAACCACGACGTTTGCATGACGAGTGAAAAGCGAAAATTTGTAAATTTTTACTTAATATCTTTTAATAAATGCAATGATTACGCAAAAACACTTTATCATAAACAGACACAGTTAGACGTCAAAGTTTGACCCGCTGTTTTGGACCATATATAATATGAGAATTACACAATACTCGCTGTAACAATAGCATCATTCGCCATATCGCGCGAAACGTCACGCCGATCGCACTCGCAGTCACTGAACCTACCTAGAACAATACACACGTGCGCTTACGTAGCTTCCTCTTCCGTCTTTAGGTTAACCTTTTTGAATCAGAGTGTATGATTTTTTTTTTATAACAGATAAAGAAAAATATTTTTCTTGTTGTTACAGGAGGTGGTGCCAAGTCAAGAACTCGTCGCACCCTCGAAACACACTCCAAGACTGAAAACTCACTGCCGTCTTCCAGAGTTTCTCCTAAAACTAATATTACTTTACCTTTCGGAATTAAATCATCTCCTAAGTCTTCAACTCCATCTTCTTCTTCTCATAAGGTCAATGAGATTCGACGAAGTTCAGAAAGCGGCACGAAGCCAAGCCACATACCTCTGTCAAAAAGATCAACGGAAAAACTTAATCGGACTTCATCATCGCCTGTTAAGCAGGACTTAACAAGAGATTCAACAAAAGAGACATCTAAACTAGACAGGACGCCTAGAGGTAGAACTTTACGCAGAAGTCCAGAAAAAGCGAAAAGTGATACCGAAAATAATCGTATCGACAGAAGACATCGAGCTCAAAAGGATAGTGAAAATCTTAGCGAAAAATATCATTATTCAAAGAAAAGACTGACTAGTTTAGAAAATAATTCTCCTAGAGACACAAGTGATGCTAAGAGAATATCATCCAAACTATTTAACAATTCTAAATCCGATGCCAAGACAAGTGTGAGTGATTCTAAAGATACCAAGATGTCTACTCTTCACGAAACTGTAAGACCACACAGTTCGAAACTTTCGCAGGAGATGGACAGTTTAGCTGCGTTGACTCAACAGACATTAGATAGAGTTAACAAATTGTCGAATAACTTAACTAGTAATAAGGTAAATTTAGAGTCAACTGAGCCTATATATGGTTCTCTATTTTCATCGCATTCAGAACAAAATAATAACAATAATAACCACACATACAATTACGGTCTTAGTAATGAAAGACCGTTGTCCAACCGGGGAATGCACGAGAGATTGAGAGATATAGATACAGCAGCTCAGAGACTGATCGAGTTTGAAAAGCAAAGTGCAATGTTTTCTGATCTCAGTAATGATTTGTCTAGTCAAAATCGCCGGCCTGATACTTCATCAACCTCTAGTAATCACATACCTGTATCAATATTGAAAAGAAAGTCAATTCATGAAGACAGTGCTATAGCTAATCCTCCAAATCATGCCATTGCTTCTCCACCTGTTACATTTTCACCGAATGTCGTGGATCCCAGCAGCTACCGATCAGACAGACAGCGACAAGGAATCCTTAAAAAACGTCGAAGCCTAGATGAATCACAGGTTGCTAGAAGAAGGTCTTGCAGCCCAGAAGTATCGTTCGCTGATGATGGTTCTTCAGATACAAACAAACCTATATTGAAAAACAGAAGATCTTCACTAGAAGATGTAGTTAGGAACAGATCACCTGACGGTCAAATTCAAGGCATCCTCAAAAGAAAAATGAGCAAAGAAGAAGATCACGCTAACGACGATCTATCGCACAGTTCACCAGAGCCTCATGGAATTTTAAAAAGAAAATCCAATTCTAGTTCAAGTAGTAGCACTACTTCTTCCCACGTATCTATTGCTCAAGCTGTTTTACTTGCAGCCGCAGGTGGCGCAGAAATTGTGGAAGAAGATAAAGAAGCAGTGAGACCAATATTAAAGAAAAAAAGTTTTTCCGAAGAGCGGCCATGTCTTGAAATCTTATCATCAGATACACCAAAACCGATATTAAAAAAGAAATCGATAGAACATGATGAACATGACTTCGATCTTCCTAAGAAGCCCATCCTAAAATCTTCGAAAAAATTATCCGGTGACGACGGACATGCTTCTAGTTTCGATTTGAGCGAAGACGACAGAAGCTCACGACGATCATCGCTACTTAGGTCGCGGACATCTGACCATTCTGGATCGGAATGCGAAGCGACAGTTAGGCCAATCCTAAAGCAAAGAGGATCCAGTCTTACTAGGGAACGTAGCCAATCGCCGCGCCCACGACTCTCGTTTTGCGCGGACAACGATGTGAACATTAGTGTGACGAATTTCAGTAGTGATACGAACGACTTGTCGGCAGCTGGTCTGCGACGAGTCCTAAATCTCGCGGCGGATATTGAAGAAAATGTTCCAAGTGTAGTTGTCCGACGCAGAAATCAGCGAACGAATTCGAATCCGCGATCGAAGAGTCTAGCGTGCGATGTAAACAGTGAATTACTTTCGATATTGAATAATCGAAGATTAAAAGTGGATGAAAATTGTAAAAACGGCCATTGTGAGCCCTGGGAACGTGTAAACCCGGGCGAACCCGAAAAAAATAGCGCTCCAAAGGCATTTCCATCAATTGCAGCTAGAATAAAAACTATGGAGCAGGCTCTTACTAAAGAAACGAGTGCCAATAAGCAGCCTTCGGCTTCTAGATTTCGAAATCGTGATAAGGAGCGCTACAAAACCCAACCTATCACAATAGATGAAATGAGATCTGCTACATTCGGGTAAGCGTTGTTTAATAATACATTTTTATTTAAATTTGTAACACTGTATCGGTCTCTAAATAGGTACACTACATAAACTATCTTGTTATTGTTCTTCAAACAGTTCTATTCCCCTTGAGTATATTCAAATTTTTTACAAAATAGTGTTGGTTCTCTTGATTGTCTTGCTCAAACGTTGACCTCGCTAGTCAAAGTTCACAGGTTGTTTATTGCCGAGTAATATTTCTTTCAATCTCGACCGGCTTCTTTAAAAATATTGCTTTTCTCGTGTAAAGGTGATTGTGCTCTGTATCGGATCTGTTAGAATTTGGACGTGGAGTGTTGGCTCAGTGCCATTATTTTGATGAGCGAGCATGCGATGTGGGTAGCGCGTGTTTTGTTCCTGGTTTGTATATTCCGTTGTACGTGTTTGCTCATTAGAATCGCTTTAGTGTCATTTATGAAACTATGTGTCATACTTTTCTTTGTTACATTCTTCTCCAACTTTTTTGCACTCTTGAATTAGAACAAGAGCTTTCCGTCAAATAATAGGTATGATCAGTCACGATTATGTAGGTACATGAAAATCAATATTTGTTTATATGTGAGTCCAGCATGCGTTCTATTATTATTCATCCGATTGCGATAAAATTTTCGTTAATTGTTGTGCCTGTTGTCGTTTTTATTTTAATAAATCAGGTGGGCCGTTTCAACAAATGTGTCTACAGCCGAAAGCCGGGCGGTTCTTTTGCAGATGCACATACAAAAATCTGTTTTTTCTTTCGGTGGAATTTTAGGCATGCCTCATTCAGCTAGCATTTTATGAGAAAAATACTTTGTTTATATGAAAGCTCTATAATCGAACAGTAAAGATGCCTACCGCCTAGCCAAAACCTGTTTACAATTGTTTCCATTTAAAGTTCGATATAGTTCTGTCTAATTAATTCCCAACTACTTTATGCTACTCGCTGATTTTAGAAATCGTACGTTAATCCTTTTAACCAAATTAAATTCTGCAGATGAATTTTTTACAATTAGCGTTCCTCGGCAACACGTTTTGTGTTAATTTTGTGTTGCTACTGTGTCTGACATCACACAGTGGTTCAGTTTACAGTTGAATCACGTTCTCTCTAGAGATACCATACGAATTAACTTTGGAAACGGATTTATTGTTTATATTTGTTTAAGAATTTTTACTGATCAAATAGTGTTGACGTGTGTTGTGAAGATATGGAACGCTTTCGAAAATTTTTTAAGTCGTGAGTATAACGTTTCTATTTCTCCAGAAATGGCGTTGGTTTATGACCCGTTGCAGTCCTTATTACTAACATCATAAGCGACAACTGTTGTTCTATGACTTTTAATAATTCATCAGACTTTACTTTTACGTTTACTTTCGTACAAAAATAAAAATATTTAAATAGATCGCTCTAAATGGTGATAACTCTGCGCTAGCGCACAAGAGAACGCTTGCACGTTTGAACTTATACCAAATATAAAAAGTGTCAGATGGTACAACGAAATCTTAACAGTTTGTTTTTTGGTAAATTCTTCTGTGACATGACTTGACGTGAAATGACTTTTGTAAAAAGTCATAGAACAGAAGTTGTTGTTTATGATGTTAGTAATTAGTCGTGTGAGATTTTAGTATTGTACAAATAACCCTGAATGTTTAGTTCTACTCATTTGATAACATCATATCATCATTGTTATGATTGCATTATTCAAGTTGTTACATTTGTCTTCAGTAGGTACTTCATTTTGTTAGCAGTTTTCTAAAAGTATGCATCAAATTTTTTCTGTTTTTAAGTTTAAAACAAATGCAAGAGTTACCTTCGACTTGGCAACAAATTGAACGGTGTGAGATGACCTCGCAGTATGTGACCTTTGGTTCGTTTTATTAATATCCAAATGACTATTCACGTCTTCAAATTATTCATTTTACATAAGCTCTGTCAAAGTCATCTTCATCATCATCATCCACAGCCCAACATCACTCACAACTGAATGTAGACTTGTCATCTACTTACGATCTTACGTTAGTTTCACCCGTTGGGCTACGTAAAATACTTCGTTGTAATTATTTTATTGCAATGGTGAAGCATATGATACTTCAACAGATTTATATATATATATATATATAATATATATATATATCTTCCCTAGTGTCTTGTATGAATTCCAACTCTTTAATAATAATTTCTAGAAGTTTCTTGTGTGGGGAAAACAATAAGCAGTATTTAATGCTTAAAACTCTCTACGCTCTCGTAATTTACATTCCAGAGCTATTAGCCCCAAACAAAGTTTTAAACGTCTTTATCTCAAATAAGGAAGTAAACAAAGTTCTTTATGCAGTGTTATAATTTGTGCACAGTTTCCACAAAAGTAATAAGTGTCCTATTTATGAGTGCAGTCGTATTAATCTGTTGCGATTACATCGGTCCTGCCAGCTGGTTCTGACGGAACGACAGTCGACGGCTTGTTGATGACGGAAATAAGCCGCTCCAGTCGTTAGTGGGTCAAGCACTATTCCTGGCTCCATCGCGCTCATTGCATCAAGTGTTTTATAGTCGACCGATCCGCTAGAAACCCCAATGCCCTTAATGGTTCTGATGCCTATCAGGCAAAACAGAATTAGACTACTATCAAATACTCAAATCATTTGATTAAACTTCCGTAGCATATCAGAGATTACTTAAATTTATCTCCAAGTTCCTCGATCTCGCATTTTGAAATACATTCCATTATTTGCTTTTCGTATGATCAATATCCACTTCACGTTGTTTTGAAGTCTTACAAAAGGAATATTTTCTAACTGCTCATTGGTGATCATGTACTTTACGGTGAAAAATAAATACTCAACATATAAATGCATCGCCGTACATAAATTATATCACTGCTCTTCAAAGTTTACTTATATAGACACTTTACGATCAATTCGATCAATAGCTTTCGTATCTACACCAGACGTTTATATTTAGACTACGTTATTGATGGTGTCAAACTTTCCCAAACCGATAGATCGGCGACTCCAGTTCAGATCACTCATGCTGTGCCATAATTCATCGAAATGTATGAAAGGGGTATTAAAACAGCGCCCGTCTCTGTCTTATGTACGGTTGCGTTCTACATTAGCACATTTCTTTTCTCATTTCGCAGTTTGGAGCCGGGCCAAGCGAGTTTTCAAGCGTTCGGCACCGCCGCCTGTAGTTTTCCGACCCGACCCATCGAGTTCGGTGCTGCTGCTGCTACGAGCACTGCCCCATACGAGGGAGAACAAGAAAAAGATCCTTACACAGACTTCGCCAAGACCTTGGACTCACCACCATTCGGAAGCAACAATTGCAGTGCCAAACCGCCGGTTGAGAACGGTCTCGACGGTGTGTGTGCCAAGGACGACAGTTTCGGCGAGGCAACATTTCTAGATTTTGAAAACATCAATGTTAGCACTGAAAGGAAGCAGTCAACATTGGATGAAATTGAGCAGGAAGTGAATAAAGTACGAGTGGCATTGGATGAGGACAGTCGTGCCCTCGAAGAAGACGAGAGGCAACAGGCTGAAGCAGATAACTGGAGTCTAAACGTCTCTTGTGATAGCGGTGTCTACAACCGCGCATCGTCCAGAGACTCTGGACCACATTCTGGTAAGTTGCATCAACAATCATACCAAATGAAAAAACAAGTGCAATTGGTCAGTGTTCAACCGTTATATTTATCGTATCGTTTGCCAAATGGAAATGCGTGCGCCGACTTATTTAGCAAGTGCAATCAAAACTAACTGTTCAGTGTCGTAAAGCAAACATGTGGAGGAAATTGGTCTAGATGAAATCACTAGCGGTTTGTTTATGTTGTGTTTGGTAAATTTAGATTAGTGAGTGCGCCAGCTCATATAGAGACTGATTTGAAACACGCGGCAACCTTGCGGATGTCTCGGCCCTATTATTTGGGTCAATGTAATGCACGTTTACGTTGTCAAAACGCTCTCGTGCGATTGCAGTCATTTTCTGCTTATTACCCAATTTAAGGCATTATCTGAAGTGGCATTGGTAGAAATAATTGAATACCAAATCGTGCTGCCTGGTGAAAAAGGCATAATTCCATTGTCTGTACGGAAATTGTTTTGTATATTCTATATTGAACAATTTAAAACTACCGTTCTTAACAACCTATTTAATTGCTCTCCAAAATAAAGAAATTCCTTTTCCTGATTCCAGGTGAAGAACTAGGCCTGATAGAGAGTAACGAGATACGTGAAAACCACGCAACAAACAGTAGTAGCAACGAGTGGTCATCTTCTTCCATCGAACGAGGTCTCTTAACCATGGATCGCGCAAGGAAGTCTACGGAAACCGAGGTTGTGAGACCTGAAGACCCACCGAGCGACGATGAGGGAAACAATCAGACTGGCTTTGCGCTTGGCCTGGTGAAGAGCAACAGTGTGGTCGCTAGAGCTAGTATGTGGCAACAGCTGCAACAACAAGCAAAAGGTGTGTGAACATTTTTGTGTTTTTCTTTTATAGGGGGTTGCGGTCTTAATTGTTACTCGATATGGTGAGTTTGTGTTTTTAAACTTATTAAACAATTGATTCAAATATAATTACTTTGTGTAGCTGAAATTATATTTTACATGAACAAACACTTGTTCATGATGATCTTTTAAACCTACTGTGTGTACAGTAGTACAGTAGTAGAAGATCTTTTAAACCTACTGTACACACAGTAGGTTTAAAAGATCATCCACCAAATGTAAACAGAAGTGATGTGAAGTACAATATGGTCGCAACTATTGCTGCGTCATTTCAATGACAGACGTAAATATGATTACCGAGGAAAGTGTAACAGGGAATGTAAAGTAAAAATTATCAAGACTTAATATTAATATATTTAATTTTCTCAATTTCAGGCACACCAAAATCGTTGGTGCGCCACAGTCGCTTCAAAAACAAGGATGGGCAATCAGTCGCGGACCGTTTCAAAACTCAGCCTATCTCCTTCAACACCGTCAACGACTCCAAACCAACAGAAGAGAGCTTCGCTCTCATTCAGTCAAAGAGCACTGCTAATGTGTTAGACAGAGACGAGGATGGTAAGTTAAAATGCCGACCATTTAAATCATACCTTGTTAACGTATCTAGTAATGTCCAAATATCGCTCAATTATGTTTTGTTCAGCAAATAAATGTTTTCATACATTTTTACTTCTGTTTGTTTACGTTAATTTACAGATGACACGTCTAGCCAATGCTCATATAAACCCTGTAAAGTCAATGAAGCATGTAAATTGCATTATGTAAAAGAACAACCGAAACACGCTTCCTGTCTTTTGATTGTCGGCTTTTTGTTTCTTTTTTGCATGTCCTCGACTACTCTACTATGTGTATGTCCCGGGGTCTATCGTAAACGTTGCACAATATTATGTAAATACGCACACACTCACGGTGGCAGCTAAGTTAGATGAAGACGATCCAGCAAAGATGTCGTTGATGGACAAAATGAAGATGTTCAACTCAAAATTAACACACAAGCCGCCAGTTGCTGGACTGCCGAGGCCTAAAGAAGATAGAACCCAAAGAACAAGATTGAAAACGATGCCCGTATTAGGCAGTCAAGTACAAGAGGCGTTGGAACAGAACGAGAGACTTACCAAGTCGTTGACCAACGACGTGCCACGGAATCCCGATTTTCAACTGAAAATGGAACTGTTCCGATCGGCCAGTGCGAAAAACACATCGTTAGAGTATATCATGAGGCAGAACTCAAAGTTTAGAAGCTTAGGTCTGATTTTGTTCTTTATTTTGAGTTTGGTTTGTCGTTTGCTTGAGTCGTTAAGCTTTGTCGGGTTGTTTGCACTAATCCTTATCCTTATCAACCCCTGGTGAGTATCCACTTGCATGCCGTAATGAATTTGCATGAAATATTTAACGAACAATGCACGAATACCAAACACTATTTGAATTAACACTTCGTATCCAGGGTCTTGTAATGCAGATTGGAGTGTTAGCAAACACAATGAGTGGATTGTCTTTTAACAGACCCAAAATACTCGTTGTCGTTTAATAGACAAAGTAACAGTGGTAGTTCTTGTTGTGTTTTGTTGACATTATAATTTCCAAAGCGTTTTGTATAGCTCGTCGTCTCGGCAATTTTCTTAAGCTTGGGCTATTTTGCATGAAGAGTGATATGTAACGAAAGGTCATTATTCTAATGCCGGACCAGCTATAAATTATTCTCTTTTAACTTCCAGTGAATGCTTGAGTAATATTTATTTTGAGCTCGATCAACATTTAGTCATCCGCTTACTCAACCTATTGCTCGAGGTTTTTTTTACGATTAATTTCATTATGGTGTTATTAAACATTATGGTACGGGTACATGCGTGGTCATGATTTTTAAGTCGTATTGCTAAAAGTTAATTGTCAATATCTTGAGTTGGTGTAGCGTTATTCAGAAATTTGTGTGGGTGTACGATGTTTACTAAGAAATTTCCAGTCATGCCAACATATTTATTATTAGTTCCATAGTCTCCTTATGATAATGAACTTGTTTTCTTTGAAAGATTAATTTCAAACGAAACCTTTTTTTTGGTAATTAGATAGAAGCGTCCGTTGTAAAACATTGAAGTATTTCACTTTTCACATTGACAAAAAAAGAAAAAAGAATTTTGAGTATTTGAAAACGTTAAATAAAGAATCAGAAGAACAAATAACAACAGTCTATACTGTTGTTATTTAATTTTGTACTCGAGGCCAAAGCATAATGTTCGGTTTTTTTTTTCCTGATAAAAGAAGATTTTTTACATACAGCGTGTTATTTAAGTTAAGCATACAGCGAATTAAATTCAAGCCATTCATAAACGAATATAATTTGTTCAATGTAGTCTTTCTTTTGTAGTACTCGATTTATTCAAATATAAATATCTCTTCTTAGACCTTAAAGAATGAAATGTACACCTCGTAACATAAGTTTAGATTAAAAAATGGAATCATATCTATAATTACTGTTCAATATTACAGATTACGACGACGACTCGCCGTCGGAGCGGGCTCAACGAATGATCACGCCTGAAGTACGCGGTATTTTAAAATCTGGGAGCACTGTCGTGCCAGCCAAGCCCAAATCTTTAGCTAAGGGAGAGAGCTCAGAGGTTAGTACGGTACATTTTGCCACATTAATGAGTAATCCGAACTGTAAAGTAAGTGCTGCCATCCTTAAAATAAACAACGTAGTTTTTTTAGATACTTTGAGTGAAATTGAGTTAATATCTGTAAGTCTAGCACGACAGGGTGCGACTTGCGCGAAAGCCACATAAAGGTTGATTCACGTTGCACCGTGCCGGGGCCGCGCGGTGCTCCAGTCGTGTGCCGGCCGTGACACGGTCAAATATCTATATTATGCTTTTGTATGAACTAATTTATCTTAGACCGGCTGGTCGTTTTCTGGTCGGGGCACGGACTCGGCCTGGTGAATCAGCCTTAAGAGTCCTACACTACAGACTTTCTATCGGCCGGTAGTTTAGTCGGGTCCTTAATCAGCATGAAGATATATGCAAGTGCGCACGTTATAACGATTCGGTATCGACCGATAAAAAAGTTTTGGGTAGCCCATCAAACTTTTCTGGCGGTGAACTATCGGCTGACTGCTGATTAGTACGGCACTCTTCCAAGCGCGCACATTGCCGATTTATGGTCTATCCACACATATCCGGGCCGTGGCCGGGACGTGGACGGGCCGTGCTCCGTCAGGGGCTTAAAAAAATATCGTTGCGTATATTTTGTATGAACTCGTTCAAACATGTTCATGCCCGGGCCGGCGCCGGGACGGGCCCGCAGTTCATACAAACTAGCACACCCCGGTCATGTCCCGGGCACGGCCCTGATGTGTGTGGATAGTCCTTTAGTCGGCCGACTCGGGCGATAGCTTCACTTCACTCGGAGCGACTGCGCAGGCCGGTCGTGTTATGAAGGCAATTGACAAGTTCATTGAAGCTGGTTATAATTTGGAATGCAACACGTAAAATTTTCTTTGTAATAATCTATCACTGTAGATGGGATGCACTCAATACTCTGTTCTTCTTTCTGTTCTGGTTTCTGTTCTTCATCCTTTTCCTGATAACATTTCTAGATATATTTTCCTTACGCAACCGCTCCCTTCAAGAGCAGCTTACCAACTAGCGAAATTTTTCGAGAGAAATTGGCCGATGGCTTGTTACTCTGCGTGCTCACCACCAACCAGACTGTTTAGTCGGCCCAGTGTGCGCGCTAGCAGCCCAACCCGACTAAACTATCGGCCGATTAAAAGTCTGTGGTCTGCGGGGGCTCTTAAGCGACATTTTCTATGCGAGAAAAGCAGTAGCTATCGTGCTAGCCCTACTTGAATCGGCAAAACGAGATCTTCAACCCCTTATAAACAGATTTAGTTTTAGTTTTAATGTTTAAAATCAGCGTAATTGACAAAGAAAAAAAACTTTAGTTACCAATATCTCAAAATTTCCAAAATGCAAATGCGTTGTTTATGACAAGGAGGGCAATGCTTGCCCTTGATGCACGAGTCAAATAAAGTCATTCAGTTGTTTTTACGACATTTTACTTTTTGCATTTTACTAATTACCTTTGGCTTTAACGGGTTAGGAAAGCAGTATGTTAAAGTTCGAGTAGAATTGTCAATTGAAAACATGTGTACTAATTACCTATTGCTGTCTGTTTAAACCTATAATGTCGGATAACGTTCGCAAAACTCTTGGAAGATGTGTGAAGACCCTAATCCGAATTGGGTTGTGGCGAACTATGACCTAAAAGCCCTCCTTAGTGAAGATCTGTGCCAGCAGTGCGTCGTATGTATGGCTTGATGTTAATAATGATTAAGACGAACTGTATTGTCTCAGATTCTAGAAGTAAAACCCTTTAGGTTGGTTTGATTTTAAAACCCAACGATTAGCGCAAACAACCTATTTACAGAAATACAAAATACCTAATTGAAACCAATTTTTCACTTCCAGGGTTTAAAAGATGAAGGCATTGACAGTTCATCCGATGACGAATCGGCATCGGCCTCCAGCGTCTCTTCATCAGAGAAAAGCTGTTCATCATCAGACAGTTCTGAGGAGATACCAGGTCCGAAAACTAGACGCTTTCAACGGAAGAATAACAAACTCAAAAACTCCAGAACAGAATCTGATATCACAAGACTTCAAGAACCTGTAAGAGTTGAAGCAAGAAATGATGCTAGAAAGTTTCGGTTACCAGGAGCGAATGAATTGAAGGAGCGGCTCAACCAAGCAAAGAACGCTGAAGTAAAAACTCCATTACTCGGTAAACTCGCTCGAAGACCAACCGAAACTGATAAAATTGATGACGATACCAACCGATACCGGAGATTTGCGAAGAAAATCGACGAGCCTGTTCAACTAGGGAAATTAAGACGACCGAGTGAAAAAGTCGTCAATCAAACTGTGGAAGATAAGCCGCCACCATTTTTGAAAATATCCGCATTAAATCAGGAGGCTAAGAATAAATTCTTTGGCTTTGAACCGAAGAAAGAGAGGAGTATTGAAGAACTTACCGCTGCTGTTAGGAAGTATATTCCACCTGTAAGTGTATTTTTAAAATATTGCTATTACACTTCTTTTATTTTTAATTTTATATCGTGACGGGACGAGCAAGTATGTATATATATGTGGTAAGCGACACGCCTATCCATAACAGATGCAATGCCACTCAGATCATTAAATCGCAAAGATCTGATGGACACTGATATTGCGCCCGTCATTCTGAGACGTAAAGTTGATTAGTCCCATGTGCCTGTAGTTGATGAAACCCCTTCAAAACCGGAACCCAATAATACTCACATTCCTGTTTGGCGGCAGTACTTCCTTGGACGAATTCTTTTATAAGGAGCCCCACTGCTACCAAAATTAAAAAAAAAATGTAGTCATTTGGTACGTCAATGGAAACAAGTGAGATTTTAATAACTCGCAAGTAATAAAACAAAAATGATTGCAGATGAGCAAATCGCTGACGACGCACACGATGGAGCCGGGCTCGGTGGGATCGCACGGTTCGGGCAGCGACGGCGAAAGTAGTGGAGGACGCGAAGTGCGGCACATTAACACTAGAATGCGACACAGGTTAGTGTTTTGAAATCTCTATGATATAATATATATATCAATCGTATAATAATAGTGGCTGTCGGCGCCATTAATGCGGTTCTGCTACGTCGCGGTTAACGTCACAGTTAAATCTTCGTATTGTATTCGCTCGATCGCCGTCAATGCTAAACGCCTATCATGTACACGTTTTAGTTAAGAAATATTTATTACACGAGTTGAGCTGACTGCCTGTTTCAAAATCGGTTGACACGTCAAGAGGTTTATATAAACCAAAGCCGGAATCCCCGGTCAATCAGCCGGTCTATTATTTATTACACAATAATATTCAATCATAATGCGGCCCACCAAACAACATGTTAAACTTGACAACGACATTACGTTACTTGCATGCCGTTACTATTATAGGAATCTAACACCAACGTATTTTATGAATAACAGTTTACTAATTACATTAATAATTCCTTTTTGAAAAAAAGTGGAATACGAGGTACCCGTGAACCATCGACATAACTAATTTCCTATTTACATACATTTGTCAAAGTTGCAATTCCTTAGGCTAACGATGAAGACAAACATCGTAACGAAGTCTGGTACGTCGAAGAAGGCTTTCCAAATTTTAGACAATCTATGAAACCTTCATTGAACAAGGGTGGTGACTATCGCCTAATCCCTCTCCTACGAGGAGACCCGTGCCTAACAGCAGGACGTATAATGGGTAAAATTTATAACCATCGCTGTCGATAAATTATTTGACTATTTTACATGTTGCTTGTTTGCACAATACAATATACCTCAATACTCAATATATTTATTGCATTCATATGGTACATGTCTTAAAATTAAAAGAATGCTACACATATGAGCCCTTTATTAGGGATAAGAATAAGAGCAGAGTTAGGCCGAGGTTTCAATTATTAATTAGAATTGTTATTTGTCAAATAATAGTATAAAATAAAAAACATGTTATATAATAACAAATACGTCATATAATAAGCAGAATTATGTCACTTGAAAGTTTGAATGTAATTAGATTACAATAGCATAACTTTGTAGTATATCATTAATATTTATTTATTATTCATTATAACATTATCATAATATTATTATTTTTATTTGTCATCAAAGTATTCATTTAAATTGTAATAGCATTTATTAATAAGATGTAATTTTAATTTATTTACAAACAGTGAATACTTTTCCTCGTTTTTAATAATGGGCGGGAGCTCGTTGAATATCCTCGCCGACATCGAGTGGGGACATGAGCTGTGTGTGTGTAGCTGAGATCGTGGCAGAAGCAATCTATTGCGTGGTCTAAAAATGTGTCGTTGGGGCAGGTCGTCAATGTTAGTATAAATGTCAGGGTGTTGTTGAATAAATTTACAAATTTCTAAAATATATATAGAACACAAAGTCAACATTTTAAATTGTTTAAAGTGCGGTCTGCAGCTATCGGTACTATTCAAATTACCAAGAATACGAATGCATCTTTTCTGGATTGTAAATATTTCTCGTGCGTGCACTCTATTTCCCCAAAGTATAATTTCGTAACTTAGGTGGGAATGAGTGTAAGCACAATAAGCGGCCATTGCAGTCAATCGTTTTCTTTATCTCCCTCAATGCATATGTGAAACTAGACAATTTTTTCTTAATTTTTTGTATGTGACATTTCCAGTTCACATGCGTGTCTATATTTAAATCCAGCAATGTACTGTTTGTAGCTACCCGTATAACTAATATACCCTTATAAATAAAATATTGCGTCGCGTGCCCTAAAGACCGCCAGTATTAAACGAGCATCAATGCATCAGACACCCCCAACACGAACTGGGAAAACTACAGTCGTTCATCAAACATGGTTAAGTATTCCTAAATAATGTAAGTAAGTAATGTCATTGGATTTACAATAGGATTCTAAGTTTCAAATCGATTGGATTAGTGGAAGGAAAAGAAATATTAATTTTATGGCTGAGATCCCTACATTAACTGAGAAAATAGTTGACAATATTTAAGGCGACATATTTCAACGCTAGCCTACATTTTAGGAGGTGAGGTGTGGGGGACCGGCCCGCACGTCCCATAAACCGCGCGCTTAAAATTAATATGAATACGGTAAGAACAGGCGGAGGAAATTTGACACAGATCCGACGCCGACAAGCGCCCGACGGCCGTGGTGTCGTTAAACCGCTGGCCAATTTTCAAATTTTGGGTAAAATGTGAATTTAAAAACTACCGGGCTTCAGTTGAAAACCAAAATTTAACAAGTTCTCTGTAGTACTTAAAGATAAATATCTTCGTATAAAAATCATGTGCAACGCCAGATATTTTATTCTTAAATAATTCGTTTTAGACTTATATTAGCCTGTTTTCAGGATTGTATATGATTGGGTGAAGTACGTCCTATCGTTTAACAAATGAACACATTCTTTAGACAATGTCCTTAGGTGAGTCGTATATTGTTCGTAAGACAGTTATTTAGTAGTAAATACCGAAACCTTTTGATTTAATAACACTGTTTATTCCGCTTCTCCTCAGGTGACTGACTCGCCTTAAACAGCTGAAAAGATGTTCATAACAGCTGTTCATAAAACGTAGCTAAGAACTGTCCAGATTAAATTAGCCTTAAAAAACCCACTTTGTAATTAGTCCATCAAACACATTGACATACAAAAAAATGCTTCAAACAAGTGGCGTAACGTCGATTTCTGCCGCCCGGGCCAACCCTAAAATTTGTTGGCCATCTATTTTCACCATGACCTCAGATTACTAAAAAACCGACATCAAAAGTTCGTGGAATTCCATCTATTTGCCAAATTTTATTGACATCGGTTACCGAAAAGTACGCGAAACCGGATTCATAGTTTGTAACCTTTAGAAGTGGAGTATTTTCTTCAAATTTAAATGGGACCATTACTAAGGTAACCCTCTTTCCAACAAAAAAAGAATAATCAAAGTCGGTTCACAAATTAGTTACCCGGAGTTACCACGTAACATACATAAAAAAGAATACAGTCGAATAGAGAACCTCCTTTTTTTGAAGTCCGTTAAAAAGTATCTAGTTCGTTCGCGACTTGATTGTGTTTTTATGTTCGCTTGCCGTCGCCATTTTTCAGTTGTTCAATTTCCACTAAGCAAAAAAATAATTTTGACTAGTTAGGGCTCAGTCGCACTTGTCGCCGCTTACCCCATTGCTGTGCCGCCCGGGGCTACAGCTCCTCTACACCCCAGCTTCGCCATAGCTTCAAACTCCTCCTCTGTTTCACATCGTGAGTTAAAAATACCAACTATCGACATTACCTTCCTTATATGAACTGAGTATTAAATAATTGATTGTGATAATTTTATCGCGTTCTTATATCACATTTTCTTAACGAAATACGTGTCCTGAAATACAACTATTTATATTTATATTAAACAAATAGAATAGTGTATGTATACAGCATGTATCATGTATTATTCATGTATAAGAACTGTTCCCAGGCGCGTACTAATTATCTATACAAATATAACTCATTTCATGCGACTAAAAATGGATCTTGCGCGCTACCGCCCGACACACACAAATCACACGACACGCATCGACGTTCATTCTATTTTTCAGCGTTTAATTGTGAATTTGGCGGAGTCAGCCTACACTGTTACTATTTTCTTCGTCTATCAGTAAAAACAGCCTTGGTAGCGTTTTGCATTCGAATCCGGGCTTGTGTGTTTTGGAATTTATGTACAAAATTAAATTTGAAGTTTACCATGAGCTTTTCGGTGAGGGAAACATCTTGAGGAAACTCACACACATCTGCAAAGCAATTTAATAATGTTTGTGAAGTACTTCCCAATCCGGATTGAGCCCGCGTGGAAACTAAAGTCCAAGGCCTCCTATTGTGTGAGGAAGGTCTCCTCACACAGCAGTGGGACGATAGATTTATTATAAATATATTGTTTTATTGGACTCTCGCGTGACCCATAGTCTGAAAGATAAATTTTAATATTATCATTATTATATTAATCAGTACACTACGTTCTCGAGTTCCGTAATGAAACTAGGAAACCATATGGTTTCGTAAAGTCCATCTGCCTCAACGTTAGAGCCCTTATACTCGCTCCTTTATGGCTTTTTCATGACATTAGGTGTTACAATACTTTGATTTAAACTTTCACGATTTTTAAACATTATTTGATTTTTTATTCGGGACTTAATCACATATAAAACATATTTTATTTTATTTACCTCGACGTTTCGGACATATTGCAACGTCCATGGTCTCGAAGGGATTGAAGAGGCGGGTGTCAGCTTCTTCAAGCCGTGCGAGTTTTTCTAACTACCCGCACTTGATCTTCATTATTTATTTGTGTGTAGGGTTCTCACTAGACCGACATACAACACTCACGACATCCGGCGACTTGTCGGGCGATACTTATGTCGTTTACACTTGCTGATAAGTGGATCACATGACGATGAAAGCTTAAAACCATCTTCTCGGTTGAAATTACTGTGTCGTCGTTTAATTTCAATAGCTTCACGTACGATTCTACTATAGTGATGAAGTTCTGTAGAAAGGATTTTGGGATTATGAACTTCTGTAGAAAGGATTTTGGGATTATGAACCTCAATCCAGTGGTTTGGTCCTGATTCAAGCAAATGCTCGGCTATTGCAGACTTATTGAGCTGACGATTGTTAACAGCCGCGATGTGTTCTTTAACTCTTTCCACTACGGTGCGTTTTGTCTGCCCAATATAGCAACTGCAATCAATCTTGTTATGTTATATGTGATGTAATGTATATGTTAGCTCAATAAGTCTGCAATAGCCGAGCATTTGCTGGAATTAGGACCAAACCACTGGATTGAGCTTCATAATCCCAAGATCGTTTCTACAGAACGTCATCACCATAGTAGAATCGTACGTGAAGCTATTGAAATTTAAAAAAGTACCGTAATTTCAACCGAGAAGATGGTTTTAAGCTTTCACCGTCATGGGATCCACTTATCAGCAAGTGTAAACGACATCAAGTATCGTCCGACAA